TTTCATATTTTTTGTTATTCAGTTAAACATACCTATTCCGCTGGAATTCATGGATTCGCCTTGGTTTCAGTTAATTAAAGAGGTAGATGTGGTCGTGTTCACCGAGGCAGGTGTTGGCAGCCAGGAGGGAAATGCCTGGAACATAGGACAGTCCTCATCTCAAAAGAAAAAGTTTATGAAAGAACCTGAAGAAAATGACAAACTTTTATAGGAAGCCATTTCTGTGAGGAGCATGATTTACATTCCCATACCTTTCAATCTCTTATAACAATTGCATTTTAATTGATATTGCTGATGATCTATCTACTATTTAACAATACATATATTTTGAGACAAGGCTTCTCTGTAGCTCAGGCTGGCCTTGAACTCACTATGTAGCCCACGCTGGTCTAGATCCCTCGATGGCCCTCCTGACTCAGCCTCCCAAGTGCTAGGATTTACAGGAGTGTGTCACCATGCCTGGATTGGTTTGATAATATTTATTTATTTAATATTTCTGCTTTATGCACATAGGTGAGAAATAATACAAGTTTATCTAATTTTCTACAAAGTAGTTTGTATGAGATACTAAGCAAGACTTAATCATTTTAAAGTATCTCTTCACTCCACGAATTTTTAACTAAATAAGACTGAAGCATTTTATCCTTGATGACAAATTTAGAAGTGAATATAATTCAAAGAGATGAAAGCCATTTCGGTACAAATTTATGTTCAAAACTGTTGACTATGATTATAAATATTTTTTACATTTTATGAAAATATTGCTAAAATCATGTCAACATTTTGTTTTTCAATATTATTGAACAGTCTTTCAGATGCCTTCAAAAACATGGAAGGGATTTCCATTCACTTAAAATAACACATTTCCTCGGGCCAGGGATTTAGCTCAGTGGTGCTGTCACCTGCCTTGCAAATGCAAGGTCCTGAGATTGATCCCAGGTGCAAAATAAAACAAAACAACACACTTCCCCTTCTTTTCATATGACTTTTATTGAACGCAAACCTTACTGTTCTTATATTAGCAGCTTTCACTTGTTTTGAAAACATTGATCAGATATTATGTCTCCTAAAGAATGACATTATTATTGTTTTATTTTTGAAATACAATGTGTCTGAAAATCTGTATCATAGGCACCTTGGGGTGATAGAAAGTTGAGTGCAGTGAGAATAGCCGTGTTCTGTCAGAAAACTTTGTGATGTGAAGCAAATCACTTCAAAGTTATGAGTCTCCCCTTTCTTGTCTCTATAGCCCAGGGGCCCCGAACCTCCAATCTGTAGCACAGGCAGCATTATGTTGAAGATCCTGTCCCTCACCCTCGGTACGTTTGCTTTGGTTGACTGTTATAGTCTTTCCCTTGATGTTAAACCTGATGCAGTCATGGACAATAAGATCATTTCTCTAGGGTCAAAATTATTCATAAGCTTTGCCAATCCAAGGTAATCCCAGAAATTCTTCTGGAAGTGTCAAAGGAGACGTGTATGCTTTCTTCTTTTACTTCTTTAAGGAGTAAAGGCAGTGAGGAACCCCTGGAGCGACTCTGGATAAGTTTGAGAAGGAAGCCAATAAAGAAACGTGCACTAGAGGTTTAAAATAAAAATCTCTTGTCACTCTGAATTTAGCAGAGCTTGAAGCTTGCTGTAGCTCGGGAAATTTCTATTACATGTGACAATATCTCTGCTTTTTCTGTATAAAATAATTTGTGATGAGTGACTGTCCCATATAATATGTTCTGAAATCAAATAGTGTAGTGAATTAGGTAAACTTGAGAAACCAGACCTCTAACACAATTTCAAAAGTCATTCTTTCTTTTTTTTCCTCATTGAGTTTAGCCATTCTTGAAAATGAAATAATGTCAAAACTGTTTTGAGGGAGCTCACTATTCACCTGAATCACTTATTTCTTTTGCAGCTAGCTCTTCTTTGTAAAAACAGGTTTTGAAGTTTCATGTGATAACATAAGTGACCAAAATCATTTCATATTTTCATCTCAAATCTAGACTCTTTGAATACTAAATAAACATTATATGACTAGAGTAAACTTTTAAAAGCATTTGAATCATCCTCTTTTGGGTAAACTTCCGTAATTTCAACTCCAACATCTTTCTGGCTTCTCACATTACAATTTTTCTTCCATACAACTTCATATAAAGTATTACTTGACTTTTACCAAATCCATTAAGTGCTTTCTTCTCTTAAGAGAGTGCATTTTTCTCTTTACAAATATCACCATGGTTATTTTCTCTCATCTCCTTCGGATTCTACACAAACATCGATTTCTCAGTAAAATTTTCTGACTATTGAATTTGAAGTAGGAAAATCTCCTGTACTTTTTAATCTTTCTCCTGCTTTATTTTTTCTCTGCATAGGTCCTCTAATAAATATTTATTTAATCATATCGTTTCCATCTTTCAGTTCCCAATTTCTGTCAGAATATTAACCTCTTGTAGCCAGTGCGGACAGGTTTTCTAACAAACTGTTTCATTCTTTACTCGATATTCAATGCACAGAAAAATGGCTTGCAAATGTTAGAAATTCAAGTATTTTTTGAATTAAAAAATAATAGAAGTGCTATGTAAAGAATGTTTTCACAGAAATCATGTAATTGAATGTTTAGAAGAATAGAAATAAAGTGATACATGAGTTTCTGATTTCTCCAGCCATTTTTAACCAAGAAAGTACAACACTGGCAGTTAGGGGCAGACCGATCGTATCATCGAAACCGCGCCGGACTCGGCAGGTGTGGGGTGTGCGGTCCCCTCCCACAGGCAGCAGCTCAGGGTCCCCTGGCACCACAACCGATGGCTTCCAGCTGTCCAGTCATCAGCCTTTGGTCCCCTTAACTTTTTCTCCAGCCAGTGGGCAGGCCCCATCCAAACACATTCTGAATTTGTAGTTGGGAATATTCCTCTTCCAACGTGTTTTTTTTCTTTGCTCCTCTCCTTCATTATGGAGGGAGTGGCTGTTTCCTACATCTTCTGTGTTGTCATCTTTTAAGATTCTTTTACCTTCCTACGAATTAATAGCATATTATTTAATACGAGTTTATGTTATTTCTTTTCAAATCCAATATGGAGTCCTTCTGACTTCTGACCAGACACTGAATGATAAAAATATTCTTCAAATGCTTTATTTTATAAATGAGGAGCCAGTTATTCCTTTTCTCATGATGTTTATTGGTACATATCAGGCGCACAATGGCATGACACTGGTCTTTGGGAATCTGTGCCTTCACATGATGGATCTTGGTTCCTATGTGTGACCCCATTCCCCTGCCCTCCCTCCAACCCCTCCACTTCTCCCTACTCACAAAGACTTTGTTCTCCTCAGTGTTTCCTGATCTCACATTTATTCCTGTCTCTTCTGCCCTTGGCCCCTCCCCTTCCCCTCTGGACCCCTCTTCCCTGCGTCACCTTATCTGTTATACATTTTGATATGCCAATTTCAGTTTGCTCATCTGGATGATTAAATGGAATTCGTCCCTCTGTTCTCCGATTTGCTCTGCGCGGTAAATTACATCGATGACAGGGCTACCCTTTTTAATGAACCCCAAATGAAGTCAAATTCCTGCTACATGTGCTTGTTCTGAAAGAAATCAAGGACTCTCATAGCCTATTTCATGAGCTTTTCCTTGGTAATAAAGTATGGAATCTGAACACTGCCAACTCAGCACAGAGGAAATCCCGGTAACGTGGGACTTCTTCCAAGGGACCCATCACTGTCACATATGGCATTTTCCCTGTCCAGGAGGACTGTACTGTTGTCCTTCTGATGTGACCCACACAAGATGCCATCTACTCCTTCTTGTGTAGTCTTCAAGACATGCTCTAAGCTGTCAAACTTTATACATTTCACTGTAATCCATAATCTGTAGTCTTTATCATCCAAAATTAACACTTCAAAGTATTATTGCCTACAACACACACACACACACACACACACACACACACACACACACACTCAATTCATGAAAATGTACAGTCAAAAAATCTTTTCCCTTTTTTTTTTGGTTTTTTGAGACAGGGTCTCACTATGTAGTTGAGACTGACCTGGAACTCACTGTATAGCCCAGGCTGGTCTCCAACTCACAGCAATCCTCCTGCCTCAGCCTCCTGAATGCTGGGATTACAGGCATTGGCCACCACACGTAGCCAAAAACTTAAGTGTTGGAGACCAAACCTAGGGCCTTGCGCCTGCCGGGCAAGCTCTCCACCATTGGACTAAAACAATCTCTGAACAGATTTCCGTCCTTAATGGAGAAAGCTCTGGCGTGCTCTAATTACCATGAAGATTTGGCAGCGGCCTTTGTTGCTGGAGAAGCCGTGCAGCTCAGCAGACTCCTTAACACCTGGAGGTCGGAAGGGCTTCTCTTCCAGACCTGTGTTCGCTCCAGACATCTCATCCTCTTTAAAAAGTACTCAGTGGTTCTTAAGGATGAGGGACCACCTAGATTACATACCAAAATGAAACAACTGATTCAGATTTGTTTACGGTGAAGGATCGCATTTTCATGCTGGGACAAGTATTGTATCTGCTTCACAAATTTCATACTTTAAAATAAATAGCGGTGAGGAGTAAATGGAACAGTCTGCCCAGAATTAGAGAGACGTATGTAATTCCAGTTGAAGGGGTAGCTTTATTTGGTGCACAAATGCCCTTAGGAAGTCATGGAACCTTTCTATAAATCTTTTTCTTTCCTGTGAGCCCCTACAGTTAGTAAAACGGGTCTTCTTTGGGTGACTGATACCAGTAATTCACGGGCTGGAGGGGAACCGAAAGCATTCAGTACACGTGACCCAGAGCGATGATTATCAGTCCTCCTCGCTCCGCACACAGGAAGTTATGGAGAATATTACGTGTGGGAATGCACAGCGTTTTCCTGCTCTCCGGAGTAGAATGAAAGCTCTCCATGAAATTATTCACAGATTCCCAGGGACGCAGCACTCCCAGGCCTGCCTCACGCCTCTTGGAGAAGCGACTTCAAACAGCTTTGCAGTCCTCAGGGGTGACCGGGCAATTTCTGTGCCTTTGCCTCCTGGTGGCTCTGCAACTGAGGGAAGACGGGAAGCTCAAGACCGTGTGAGTGGTGAGAGCCACGGAAATAAAGGAACGCAGCACCCTGGAAAATAATAAAGCACTATCCTCACCGTGTTCTACTTCTGCCGAATAGCTACAGAGAGCTCCAGGAACTCTGGGCAGGACGCAAACAGCAGGAGGCTTTGAAGCAGTTGGGGACGTAGGTGGAAAGTGCTTCGCTACCCTGTCCTTTTCTCCAAACCGATCCTAGGTGTAGGACTTCCACTGAAAACTGCATGAAATAAATTCACGCTCACATCATTTCCCAGCTGTAATTATCAAAAGAATTTCTGTAAATGTTATTGGAAATGTGACTGCCATTCTTAAAAAATGACCTCATCGTTTTTGAAACGTAATTTTAGCTAATTACTTACCTCTGTGATGAAGTCGTCATTTTTAGCCCTGGTATGTTTTATTGAGCATCCTCCAACCTATTAAAATGGGGGCTTTAGTCTCTGATTCCTTTGTGTGAAATGTAGTTATTAAAGACCTTCAGTCTGACATGATTCTCAAGTGCACTAGATTCGTTTATCTTCCCAAATTTCCAGATCAGTTTTCTAGTAAAATTACCATTGTAACAAGTTTTTTTCCAATTACAAATTTTATTATGTGTAGAACTTAAAGAAAAATGATTGACACTGGTGCAAATTTTAAAAACTATTGTTTTAAGGGGAAAAGAAAACAAATAAGATATTTACCTACAAATCTCTATAGTCCCATCTCTAAGTATAACGGCTGGTGTATCCATGAGAATTTACTTTTGGTCTCTATATTTCAGACTTGGTAAAAAGATAAAAGCATATGATCATAATATATATGATGCAGGAAAATTATATAGTTAATATAACACAGTTTTAGTCATATGGCATATGACTTTTTCTGGCATATTGGTGAAATACAGCTCACAGTTACCTTGCAGATTAGGGTTTCATGCCATGTATATATATATATATATATATATATATATATACCCACATAAATATTTATTTATACACACACACTCATGTATCCAACGTGTATTGATTTACGCCTATTGTGAACTAGTCTCCAACTTCTTTTAAAAAGATTGATAAATTACTAATATTATAATTTCTGACAGTTCCCTATATTCCTTCCAGAGTCTAAGGTGAAATCTTAAATTACTGTAGGAGCAAACATAAGAAATAAAACTGCCCTTTGTTAGGGAAACTAGAGCAGAAATGCCAAGCAAAGCAGGTAGAGTTATTTGAATTGGAGATATAGAAATGGTGTAAAATCCTGGCAGAGAAAACTTTCAATTTAATATCTGACCTGAGGTGGCAGGTAAATTTTCTGGTCCCCTTCTGCAGGTGACCAGACACACACAGAAGAGGTTGTTGTTGTGGCCAGGGGAATCATCATCATCCTCATCATCATCATCCTCATCCTCATCCTCATCATCAGAGGAAGAGAGAGAGAGTTGAAACTCTGCAGGAATGGCAAGCTGAACTACATCTAAAATCCACAGAACCAGGTGACTTTACTGTGCATTTATGTATACATAACTAACAAGGAGATTGCAGCTTCCCCAAAGTGATAGGATTCCTGATTTAGGGTGGATAGCTATTTGTGCCATCCTACTGGGAATACGATGGAGCCAGTGTGCTGACGTAGTGAAAAGGGCCATGATAACCTGAAACGAGTAGCAGAGGAAAGACACCGTAGCCATACAATCCAGGAATGTGTCCGCTGGATTTGAAGAGTCGTGGGAGCTATGAGTGTAGTATTATGACTATTAGTTATTTTAACTCATTCCCATACAAGCTCATATGAAAAGCATCTCAGGGACATACTTTTGACCTTCAAATCCCAGCCGTAAATATGTGACATTGATATCTTTCCACCTCAACTATGCGCACTCTTGGGGCTTTGTCTTTTCTTGGTTTGGGAGACAAGATAGTTGTAAGTTTCTACCTCTCAGTAAAGTACACGAATAGAGGCAAAGGGGCAAAACAGATTGGATGCACTGATTGCTCCCTGTGCGTTCTGGACACTCGCCACCACTCTCTGTCACTTGCTCTCATCTCTACCACTGGCATTTTCTGGGCTCCACACCCCTGCGTGCATGGAGCCAAAGGAAGGGATGCACAGGTTATCTAAAAGTATGGGGAGAGGGCCCTGGGGCCGTGATCTGTTCTCATGTCTCCGTCATGCCTAGCTGTAGGTCTGATAGTGGCCATGTACCTAAGGTAGCAGACTCCCTGCCAAGGTCTATTTTCCATCATTCCCTTCTTGGCTCGAGTAATGCTTCTAATGCCTCTTTGTCTTTTATGTCTAGATGACTTAGTAGCATCTTGATGACACATGCTACTATTGTTCACTTTTTCCTCCTGGGTGGTGCTCTTGTCCTTGACTACACAGTCTTCACTGCACCTCTGTAAGTTGTCCCATCTGGTAGGTGCTTGACTGCTATCGCAATCGATGAAGATATTCCTTGACCCAGACTTTCTTTCTTCTCAAATTATCTCCTTCGGTTTTGACCATTTATACCTACACTTGTATTTTCTTGAGAGATTTCGCCTGTACTGTTAAGATTTTATCAGGCAAATGTCAATGTAAATCATCACAAAGGTAAAGACAAGATTTACCAAAGTGAGGTGGCTAGATATTCAACCCATGGAAAATGAAAATGAAGTCAGGAAATGTGTTATCATCTATAAAAATATGGAGAGGACAGCAAGGTCCTTCAGCCTTGTGAATAGATTTGCTTCACAGAGCCATTTTCCTCTGAAATACAGTGTCTACAGAGTAGCTGTACAAGATCACTGAACTTCTATGGGCTCCTGGAATGCACAGACTAATGATCTGAGTTGGAAAGGATCTTAGTAATCATTCAGTCTGGTTTCCTGAGTTTGACTGACTCAAAAAACAATGTTAAGAATGGAGAACAGAGTGGGCAAAAATCCTGCGGTTTATGAGCAGCAGAGCTCAGGGTGAGTCTTTAACGCCCGAGTCAGTGAGGACACCCGTGGGAGGTCATTAGGCCAAGAGGACAGTACCGACTTGCATTGCTGCTTAAGTGCACCAAAGTGTAATGTAAATGCTAAAATGGAGCTTCAGCTCCACCGTTCATCCCACTGATGAGCCTGTGCAGGGGTCTGCAACTTGCATACTGAAATATGTTTGGCTTGGTTTTTCTTTTTTTTTTTAATTAAATAATTGAATTTCTTGGTACATTTTAGGGATACAGTACAGTTACATTCATTGTTGGGATCTTGTAGCTCTACATGACAAGTCTTGATTCTCATTTTTTCCCCTTGTCCCTGCCCTCCCTTCACCCCCTCCTCCCCTCCCCATTTACAAACACTTTATTTCCATCTTTTCATTTTCTCACATTTTTTTCTTTTCCCTTATTACCTTTCCCCTACCCATCCCACCTTCCCTACACCTTTAGCCCCTTGCTTCCCATTTCACAATGTCAGTTATCTCATTAGGATTTTATGTACTATTACGGTTTATTCACACCAGAGACAGGGATCACCGTGCGAAATGTCCTCTCCAGCCATCTGCCCCTGGCCAGCCCGTCCCAGCCTCGGGCACCCAGCAGAGTGCTAAGGCCCTCAAAATCTCATCCATCTGCTTCATGCATAACTGAGTGCTTGAGTAAACCTTCAGACATGTAATGTGTCCGTTTATCTTTAATTTACACACGTGTGTAGGCTATGTGATCAAAAACTATGGTGAATACTTAACTTGAAAATATATCACCAAGAAAGCTATGTTGCCTCTAAGCCCCTGCATAACACTCCTCTGGAATCAAAAGCACTGATCCCATCAATCCTGCTGCTTTCTGAAGCAGTTCTGGAAGTCTTTTCAGATGCCTTTAATTGTGCTGCCAGTCCTGGCTGCTTCAGTGGCTCGAGTTGATCTCCAACACTTACCTTTCATGGTCATTTAGACCCTGACAGAACGGCCAGAAGCCACAGGGTGCCAGGTCCTGTGACAGTGAACGAGTGGATGAGGGTGCCCCGTAGTGTTTTAGGAGCCTGTCTTTCTGTGGAATGGACAGTATTCACCGCATCTTTTGGCTCACATCTCCTAACTGCAAAATAGAAGACTTGCAGAACTGTTTCAGAAGGTGACAAGAACAGAAGAACATCTTTAATTTGTTACTGTTTTCATTGTTTAGAGAATATTTTATTATTTTTTGTGATCAAACCCATGTAGATAAGACCTTACTTATTTAAAACTGTACATTACCCCTGTACAAATGGGAAAAAATTAATTTTAACATTTCTAGAACAATATGGCTGTTAATTTCTGTACAATGCCAACTCAACACAGTAAACAGAGATAACTTTCTTCAAAGTTGACAGCACAGTTAAAGTGTCCAAAAATTAAAAAACATATAATAATGGAGGGGGTAAAGGGAGAAAAAATGAGAACCAAGATCTGTCGTGTAAGGGTACAAGACCCCAAAGATGAATGTAACTATACTGTGAGGTTAAAAAATACCAATAAACTCAATAAGATTAAATGGGGGGGGAGAGAAGAAATAGAGAAAGAAAGAAAGAAAGAAAGAAAGAAAGAAAGAAAGAAAAAAAAGAAAAAAAAAGAAAAGAAAAGAAAAGAAAAGAAAACTATCCCCAAAACAGCAAAGTTCTGTTACTGTTGTGGAATCTGGCACCTTTTTAAAATTATTATTATTATTATTATTATTATTATTATTATTATTATTATTAGCATCTTAACCATCATCTGGAAAGAAAACTTTCTAGAGTAACATCAGTAAAAACAGCTCTGATAAGGCACAGTCAGTACTACGGATCATAAAGCAGGCACAAGGTATTTTACATTCACAGAGGTACGGTCCAGTACTGTTCCACATCTATAATAAATGCTTGCTGTTATTGTGATTCTTTTTAAAACATTGAAGCACACCATATTTTTCAATCGCACTGCACATGAATGGAAGATTGGCAGCACCCATAGCACAGTGGCACCGAAACCCCACCAAGCTGGAGGGTCCCGGCACCGAATTCAGGTTACTCCGGAAGAGCTCCACGGGGTTGCCCTTCTCCAGTGTAGGGCAGAGGAGGAGGCGGTTTCCCCCGCTTTGCTTCGCTCATCCGTTCCACCGAAGTGTAGTAAGTGAGGTACCGGTTTACTGCCAGTTTCTCCTGTACTCTGGGTGAAGTGATAGGACTGTCCCTGCAGGAGACCACCCAGGACAGCCATCTAGCAGTGCTGTGTATAGGGGGAAAAACATTACTTTTAAATCAATTAAATTGGAAATGTATTTGTTTATATCTGTTTGTATTTCACTCAGTAACATTCTGTTCAACTGAGGCCATTACCTCATATGCAAAATGGATAAATGTAATTCTCAAGGCCTGTACGTCACACAACATGATTATGTTGAAGTTCTCCAAGGGGACAAGAGCAGGAAAGTAATCGGGTCATCGGACTGTGGTCTTTTTGAAAGAGGCACGAGAGAAGCGTCCCTCTCCTGTGTCAGCAGATGACTTGTGTCTGGACATCTCCACCTTGAGAGCCATGAGACGAGCTACACCGCTTCTCAGACATCTGGTTCTGTCTTGTAGAACAATCAAGGCACTGTCTTGTAGCTGACCAAATGCCCTGAAATGCTTCTTAAAGAAGAAAAACCGCAGGGGATTTAGCTCAGCGGTTTGGTGGCCTGCCTCGCAAGCGCAAGGACGTGAGTTCAATCCCCGGTACCAAAACCAAAACGAAGGAGGAGGAGGAGGGGGAG